TGATAAAACAGTAATGAAAATGAGCAAAACATCAGAAAAACAATAAAACAAGCAAAACCCAATTTCACAGCTTAAATAAAAAAAAATTATAAAGTAGAAAAACTATGACTAAAAGCTAAAATTAACTAAATCATAGCTACAAGCTAGAAAAACACAAGCTATAAGCTAAAATTAAAAAAGTGTAGCCTAATTCTAAAATAAGCAAAGATGTAGCTGAATGTCAAGCTAGAAAAACACCACAGCTAAAAGCTAAAATTAACTAAATCATAGCTACAAGCTAGAAAAACACTAGCTAAAARCTAAAATTGAAAAGTGTAGCCTAATTTTAAAATAAGAAAACATGTCAAATGAAATTTTTTGAATGTCAAAATTAGCAAAACCCTAGCTAAAAGTTAAAATAAGGAAGAACCATAGTTAAAATGTAAAACTGGTTTTAAAAAACAGTTAGCATAACTCCATAGCTAGAATTAGCTAAATAATAGCTAAATGCCAAACCTAATTAAAAGCTAAATTTAGTCAAACCAAAGCTAAAAGATAAAAAATTATATATACATATATTTATATATGTTATATGTAAATTGGTGAAACTGTGACCAATAGCTAAAATTAGTAAAACAGTAGCTGAAAGCTATATGGAGCATAAAAATGAAAATATAGCTAAAGCAAATTTTAAATTAAACAAACTGTTTTTGAAAAAATGGAAAGCATTTCTAAAGGATTTTTTTTGTAAATGAAGTGAATGTTTTTTAAAAGTATAAAATTTACTAACACCATAACCCACAGCACTATTCCGTATTAAAGCAAACATTTTGTCAGATGAAGCATCCAGAGAAACTGTAAACAGGACAACAACAGTGTCAACGCTGACTCATGCTTTAAGACAGAAATCTAAGCAAGTAAGGCCTGAACAGGATGTAGCATCTGAGCCATCCGGCGGCTGCAATAATATTCAATCCTTCCAGAGACGAACCAAGACAAATATTTATCCCACAGCTTTCGGGTTGGTAGTACGATCGCTCCAAGTGGAGAAACTTCATCTGTCCAGAGACCCATTCATCACAAGTGTGTGCCATAAACTGCCACACACATCCTGGTCTGTCAAACGGCTCCCATTAAGGCTGAAAAATAGGATTTCTTCTTTTGTTGATGTTGTCATCCCAGAGTGAGGAAATTATCCCTCAGAAAATAATCTGAAATGTAAAACTAGAGGTGAAAATAAGCACTTCAGTGCAGCGAAGGACCAGAGGTTTAGTTTTAGTTAAACCCGTCGACATGGACAAGTCTTTCCTCGTATTTTTAACTTAAAACCATTGACTGTAATTATTCTCTCTTGGTGGAAAACTGAAATTTAATATTAAAAAGTGTTTCTTCTTTAGAGTGTGTTTAACTTTTAACACCAATATTCTGAGCATATTTATAAAATTAGCCTTAAACAAATCCACTGTATATTACAAATTAACACAATCTGAAACGCTCTTACAGAACATCATGAAAACTGAACTTCAGCAGTGAAATCCCCTTTTGTAAACAAAACAAAACCCATAAAAACACTAAACTCTTGTTTTTCCACTGTGGCCCACACTGACGATAACACATTTTACAGAGCATTTAACTCCATTTACCGACTTACAGAAGCTATATGGGAACCAGAGCTGGTGTTTTACTGGCTCAACAGACCCCATGTGGTCCCACTTTTCTCAACTAAACAAGTAAAATAAATAAATGACGCACGTTTATGAATAACATGATGTGTCAGGTGGAAAATGGGAACAAACATGCAGTTGAAACGTGTGTAAGTGAAAAACTTCCTGGGTTTCACACAACTTTGCAGGACTCTGGAACGTCCCAGGCCTCGACCAAAAACAAAAACAGGCTCCAGTTTGGTTTGATCAGTCCACAACTTTGCTCCACTGTGAAATATTTTTGACGAAAAATCTGAATAATCATCCTTTCCTCTCAGCAAAAATTGATGAAGACATGATGCTGCCTCTCCACCTTTCAGTTACACAAATAAAAGCAGCTCTTCTCTGGGTCAGGAGTGGAGACACTCACAAATCAGGATGTTGCAGCGTGGGAACGAGCTCCAACAACGTTAAAAACAAAAGTTTTCTTCCATTTCCTTGTTAAAGTAGGTGAAAGGCATTAAACCACGCTGTGCCCACACACACACACTTCTGCACTGAAACTACATGGAGGCACGAGGAACGCTGTGCGAGTCGATGACTTCATCCAGCCAGAAGACGGAGCCGAGAGGCTGCTTTTCATTATGGATCCACCTGCAGTCGTGTGAGGTCGCTCTTCTTTCCAACACTGATTCAGGTCATTGAGGTTTGCAGATATTCACTCTGAAACGGCTCTCTTCAGGTTCCATTGCAATGGTTTTATTATTTTTTAGTTGTTCTGTTGTAGATCTGTTGCTGTGGTCTTGATCAGGACCCAGTTTGGTTCAAGCTTCAGCTGCTGGAGAGAATGGCCTCACTATTTCGGCTGGTATGYTACATTCAATGGTCGACAAACATTATTCCAGATTCAGTTCAGACATTCAGACAGGTCTGGGCCAGAACTGGTATGGCTAGTGGTTTATTGACCTGTCCTGGAACTAATACTTTTATGTTTAAGCCTATAATTCATGACATCCTTTACTGACCTAGGTTTTCATGGCATGCTGTTCATCTGCAGACAGAATGATTAAAGTCAGAAAAAGATTTGCTAACAACAATCATTCTTAGATATCACTTGTGTTTATCTTTGTGTTTTCCATTGACCTTGTATGAAATCTTGCTAAGATGACAGAATGCTGTTTGTTAATATATATATGAGGCCTCTCGAGACACAGTGTTCGACAGTGGACAGTGTGGAGAGACAGTGACAGAGAGAAGCAGAGGCACAGAGACAGGCCAGGTTGTTCTCTGTGTTTCCTGTTGTTGCAATAAAACTCAGCTGATCATCTCACGGAGTACCTTCATTCTTGGACCACTTATTTCTGTCTTTGTTAAATAAATATTTCCATAACAAACCAGATGTGGGCCAGGTCTGGCAGTGATGGCACTGCTTTTAAAGGGATCCATGATTAGTTGTAACATTAGACTTTATTTGATAAACATATATTTTAACTGTAAAATAAAGACTGTAAAAATACTGTAGGCTGTTTAGTTTTGTTAATTTTTAAAAATAAATTTTAACACGGACAAAGCCATTTTACTTACACACAAAGCATTCTGGGTAAATGATGACATGGATAGGTCCTCGGTGCGAGGCTGCTAGTGAGCTATATCCACCCTGAACAGGCTAAGCTGAGGTTCTTCTTCCATGAAGCAGCTCTGTTGTCCTCCATCCATATTTTCAGTTACAGGCTGAGTCATTTCTACCTTCTCCTCTCAGTCAACGCTCTCTGGTTTCATTTTAGAGTCGATCATCAGATATTGTCCAAGATTAACCTTCAGGGTGGATATAGCTCGCTAGCAGCCTCGCACCGAGGACCTATCCACATCATCATTTACCCAGAATGCTTTGCGTGTAAATAAAATGGCCCCGTCCGTGTATTATATTTTTAAACTTTCCGTTTAAAAATGATAAAAACTGAACACCCTACAGTATTTTTACAGTCTTTATTTTACAGTTAAAATATATGTTTATTAAATAAAGTCTAATGTTACAACTAATCGTGGATCACTTTAAGACGGCATGCCACAACTGACCCAGTTGTGGTTTAGTTTATGTGGTGCTTGCCCATGTATGGACCACCTCTGGCAACCCACATCTGGGCAACCAAAAGGTCGTCATTCTTTGTGGTGTCTGGGCCGAGTGTCAGTGCACTGTGTGGGCCAGAACTGGGCCCACACAGTTCTTGTAAAAAGTCTTTAATTCAGAAGTGACCCTGTAGGTCAGCCATGCTGTCAGTTTGGCTTCTTCATGCAACCTTTCCACACACGACGTAATTGTTCAGTGTTTCCTAGGCTTCGCCATAAACAACTTTCTAACCCCTCTCAACTCGCGTGCCTGCGGTTCTCCTCGGCCAAATGCATCTCTATTTCTGGTTCAGACTGAGCACTTCCAGAACCACCTCTGAGGTGGTTCTGAGCGGGTAGAACAGAGTCTTGCGTTCTTACGATTTTGACGTCAGCAGACTGCTGCCCATGGATTGGCTGTTGGATTGATTGACAGAGGAAAGGCGTTACTTGTGTAAACCAATCCTGCAAAATTCCTCCTGGAGAGAGCCGGGAGATATGATGACACGGCGGAAGCAGTGGTAAAACAATGGTCTAAGCTGGAGGGGCAAACCTTTTTGAAAGGCAGAACTTGCGAACACTTCTTGGAGAGAGGTGAAGGAGACGAGCGCTGGACGAAGACATCCTAAAAAAACACTGTGATGGAGACACACACCTGAGCAGAACCAAAGTGAGTGAGACTTGACCGTGAAGAGGGGGCTTAACTGAGACGGTGCTCTTGCTTTTATTTTTCCTTGTCTTTTTTCTGAGCATTGCACAGTCTGACCTTGGGGTGAATTTGCTGGAACGTCCACTCATGGGAATGTTGACAGCTGCCTAAAACTTATTCTACAACTGATAAGCACCCTCTCTAAGGTCAGTGCTGTTGTCTTTCCACCCTGACATCATGTGCTCCAGACACTGACAAAACTCCTGCCTGAGTTTGAAGTTAGTTTGGAAGAACTGCTTCTTCAAAGCTGCTCCCACCCTCTGAACTCCCCCCTCAAACACATCTGTGGCCGTACAGATCTACCCACATTCAAAGCACATCTCAAAACACAGTTTCAGAACAGCTACATGATGTTGCCGTTTTACACTTATCCTCTTTTTCCTCTCCTTTTCAGTTTTTAAAAAAACGTTATACAAATGAAATATATTAATTGTGAAATCTGATCCTTACGTGTGTGTATGTACGGTGCATATACGTCTACATCACCTTGACATTTAAAAACCTAGAACTATTAATTGATTACTGAGGACGGTCCTGTAGAACGACGTCTTTTGTTTTGGGAATTCCTGGTCGAGATGGTAGCAGAAATGCAGACTAGAAAATTATTTATGTAGGTTTTTTTCCAATATGAAGCAAAGTTTAAATGCAGACATGTATATTTATATGTAAATACTACTACTAGTAAAACACTAAATTAAATAATTTCTCCAAAACTCAGCTACTTTCAGAAAACCATGCATCATGTTTCATCACCAGTTCATCCTCTCACCTTATCACCTCACACTGACAAATTACCACCAGAGGGGCTCCATATCTGCAGAGACGGAAAAATAAACCAAAGAATTTACTCTTTTATTGGCTGCAGAGTGGAAACTGCTGCGGCTCCAGACTACATTGTTTTTTTAAGGATGACAGTTGTTTTGTGGGCGAAGAAGGCGCCAGGCGTTAAAATAAGTAAAGTTTCTGCTTCACTGATTGGTTTAAGCTAAATTAGAAGTAGTTTTAATGTCGGTGAAATAAACCATTAATTTGAGCAAACAGCAATGGTGAAAATAACTGGACACATTAACAAAGTAAACACTCCCGTCGCTCATCTCGTTTTGTTCATGTGGAAGCAATTTGAGAGCCTTTACCCCCCCCCCCCACATGCACACAGTTTGCCCCCGCGGGCCCGTCCTGGCACGGAGTAACTCCATATAAAAAAGCTGCCAAACTGTGGTTTACTATTTTATTTGTGGTGAGTTTTCTAAACACGGCTTCTCGTCTTCACGCCGACGACATGTTGCCAAGCTAACAGTAATGGCCTCCAACACGCCGACCGCTAATAATCAGGCAGAAACAAAACAGGAAGAGCCGAAGATTTGGAGCGAAGCAAGACATGAATAAAATTCCGGCTAAAATAAATAAATAAAAAAGGGTAAGCATTTTGATTTTTTGGATTTTATTAAAATATGGTGTTGAGTTTACCATTGGAAGTAACCATCACAAACATGATTGTATCTAATAAAAAAGTAAACAAAACAAAAATAAAGCTTAAGAGCCTAGTTACAGATTTTTTAAGGTGTTTTTTTGTTTGTTTGTTTTTGCAGTCTGGTGAAAGAAAAACAACAACAACAAAAAAAATCAAATCACAATGAGTGTGTGAGTGGAAAAAAAAACAAAACAGAAATGTTCACATGTTGCAAAAATACATTTCCCAATTTTAACGGTACAGTCACTTTCAAACAGTCATTCATTCCTTGTTAGATGGTTAGATGTCAGTGCGGAGAAGAAGAAGAAAAATAAAAAATAAAAGACAAAAAAAACAACAGTTCAGACCTGTGCACAGAGGAGGATGGAGAGATTTCTAAAAAAAAAGCAGGTTTTGACGATCTGAGGGAGAGCAGTTGGGGACGAAGGAGGGGGGCGGGGACTGCCGGAGGATATGTGTGCATTTGAACCCTGAGAGAGAGAGAAAACGTGACCAACTCTCACTGAAAAAAATATAATAAAATAAATAAAAAGTTACTGCTTCCGTTCGGTGCGGAACGCACCGCTGCACCTCGCCCCGTCCACCAGCCACAGCGGAGCTTTTGGAGCCACCCCTCCCCTCTGGAGCGGGCGGCGACGGCAGCAGCTTCACACCCAAATGTGAAAACTTCATGTGTGAGTGAAGCTCTGTCACACAGGCTGAGCTTGACCTACTGAAACCTGTACGAGAAAGAAAAAAACTCACACTGGATTTACGCGGTTAAAAAGGAAAAAAAATCGTGATTCGTCGCAGAAGAAGAAGAAAACGTCATGTCGAGTGTGTGTGTGTAGGGGGTGGGGGGTCGTTTTCAGGCGGGTGCTTCTCCTGCTCTGGTCAGCTGTATTAAGGCAGTGAGTGGCTCCATGGAGGCGTTCTCTAACAGCTACTGTAACGGAGGGAGCGAATAAGTAAGGCCCACAGGATATCAGGTGGAAAAGGACAAATC